AGCAGGGGTTCTGGTACGGGCATCGTACCAATGCAATATCATTCATACTTGGGTTAACTTAGATAGGATCGCGGGTGTGCTTTTCGGTGACGGTGTTTGCTTCTGCAGTGCTTATTTCAAAGACAGCTCGTATGATGATTCTCCGACGGATATGGAGACAGTGTGCCGACAGCTGCGGCAAGTGCGCCGTGAGGCGGTGCAGAGGCTCCCAGGCGCTCGCTTGCTTCTTGTGTGTGACGCCAATGTGGAGCTTACGCCTGACCTTGTGTCGACACGGGGGGAGCAGATCACGGGGGAGGGACTTATGATGACACGGCAGAGAGGATATGGGAATGATTCGGAGAGCAGACGGTGGAGGGAGGAGATGATGAGGGAGCATTTTGAACACTTCATGGGGGAGGAGGGAATCTGTGCCATCAATACTTTCGCAGAACGGACTCCGACCTACTGGGAGTGGGAAGCCGCCAGCCCTAGCAAAGTGCTAGATTACGTTTGCATTCCGACGGCCTGGGGGAGAGGAGAGACCATAGTGAAATGGCTGCGTGACGGAGTCCACAGCCACTACTCAGACCATGCCTTTCTCAAGTTCGAGATTCGACCCCAGGTTCGTGCTCCTCGATATCGACCTCGCTCCCAACCCCGCCCTACCTCCACGGCTCGTCGACCCTTCTCTGACCAGCTCCAACAATCCCAGTTCGCCTCTCTCGCGGACATCGGCATTCCCAACACATTCCCAGCAGACATCGGGTCGTACTTGTCTGGTCTCGCCGATCCCCATCTTGTGCCGCCAGCAGTCAGTTCCGCGCCTGTCAAGCCGGCGGTGTTGGCCGATCTCCAGGCCGTGTACCGCAGGCTGAAATCAATGACGCACCGACATGGACCCCCAATATAAAAGAGCCCGAATGAAAGCCATTACACAACAAATCAGACCCCACAAGCGACAGTACGACAGGGGCCGACTTACCTGGGAGTTTCAGGGAGGAAGGAAATCACAGCGGGTTCAGACTACATCGTTGGAGGTGGATGGGGAGGTTACGGAGGATCGGTGGAAGTGTGAGGATGCGCTTCAGATACACGGGGCAACAACCATGTCGTGTGCACAGTCTCGCTCAGAGCAGCTCTATTTGCTGCGACGCTTGCGGGAGCAGGCCAATGCGTCACGTCGGCCAGCGCCGAAGCTCTCTTTTGCTGTCGTGCTCAGAGCGAGAGCCCGCCTTCGCACGGGGAGGTCGTGCGGGCCCGACGGATGTGCAGCCGAGTTGCTGAAATCGCTCACGTGGAGATCTATCCGCCATATCCACACCACATTTCTCTCTATCTATCGTGCATGCTCTCCGACTCCTGATATATGGCGGCAGGTTCTCATTACGCTGATGCCCAAGGTACCCGCGTTGCGATCATTGAGTGAGACACGCTCGATTGTCTTTGCCAACGGTCTGGCCAAATGGTATCTCACATCCCTCACTATTACACTGGAGGTGGAGGTGTCTGGGGACCTGCAACGACTGGGACTCTACGGCTTCAGCCCTGGTTGGAGCCCTTGGTAGAGAGATCGTGGGGCCACTCAAACAGATATGTCAACATGGGAGCGTCTGGGGCCCAAACAACAACGACCAAACTGCTTACGCTGCGCAGGCCGATATCAAAAAAGGCCTTCGACAACATCACGATCCAAGTTGTGGCGCGTGCTCTGGGGCCCTCAAAGTCCACCCTAGGCTCACACACGGTATCCTGGAGCCACTTGTTGGGACGTCGGGTATATTATGTTTCGAGGGCTTGGAGGCTACTACATCGTGGGGCCGCTCCATCCGTACGGGGGGCACAGAGGGTCCCTTACTCTTTAATCTTGTGGTGCCTGCGATGTGTGCTGACCTATTCAAGTCTTGGGAGGATGTGGCGGACGATCTTGGGGCACTTCGATAAACGCAAAATCTTTGAATACTGGTACGTTGCCACCACAGGTCCCAGCTGGAGCTCCACCCAGTTCGAGGCCAAGCAGTCCACCGAGGGAACGACTCCTGAGGCCCTTGAGAAACAGTCCAAGCGTTTGGCCACTATATGTCAGCGTGCTGCGGTTTGGGACGTCTTGAGCGAGGGGATAGGCGTGGACCTCCAAGGGGACTCACTACTGGTCTCATCGTGGCTCCAAGGGAGGTGGAGGTGCCATAATCAGGGTGATGCCGACAGAGTTGCGGAGTGTGTGGAGACCGTATACGAGCTGAGCTGCCGTGCGAATATCCGCGCGGCGAACATAGGACGGGACATATATCGACATGAGTACAGGGAAGATAACACCAGGGCCGACGAGCTCACCCACCTGGCCCGAGAGGGCCGCACTTTCTACTCCAATCAGGTTGCATGCAGTCCGATTGAGTCACAATATCTTTTACACGTCGCCTATCGTGGGGCATGCGATGGGGGAGTGGACGGCAACGGTTGCGGATGTTGTTTTTGGCTGCAGAAAGGCTTCTTGGATTGCAGTCAGCGGGGTCCGACCTACCACGCCGCTCCTTCTCCATTCGGCTCTCGTCAGATAGCCCGCAGGAGGACCCCAGGGAGTGAGCCACGTGATGCCCTCGTTTGGAGGGACATCGCCTCCAGTGCCTTTCTTTTACCACCGCGCTCCACGATCGCAGATTGTGAACTGGCTGCCGCCGAGGCGCTCACACGCGCCCTCCGCTTAGACCTGCCAGGCTCGCTAGGCGCCCAGTCGGGCGGCGCTGCGGACAGCGCCCTGGAGCCCGCGCAAGCCCAAAAAGACCAAGGTTGGCAGTTTACCGCCGGCTCCCAGTAATTTCGTCGCGCCAGGAGGCTAGTGACTCGTAGAGGTCCCCTAAGAGCGAAGCGGCGAAGCTAGAGAGTAATTCCGGCGCGCTGGAGGGCTAGTCGGCAACAAAAAAGCAACATTCGTTAAGGCTCTTATATTTTTCTTCCATATTCGATCTTCTTCCCGCTCGCCATCTTAATCTCAGGTCGATCGGGTGCGCATTACTGCCAAAAAAGCATGTGGGCGGGATCGGCTGTTGAGTGTCATCTTGGCAGGTGCTGTCGGTTTTCTTAACTTAACTCGAGCTGTACAAGAGCTACAGAGCTGACAGTCACATCTAATATATCTAGAATCATCAGGCGCGCTAGGTCTCAAGTGTCTAGATGCCCGAGTCCGGTCTGCTACCAGAGCTGGGTCCGAAACATTATTCGTACTCTGCTAACTTTACAAAACTGATGATGAGTTTCTTGATGTAACTCGAGCTGCAGATAAGCTACAGAGCTGTTTGGCGCAGCAAACGAAATACAATCATCAGAAGCGCTGGTCTCAAGTATCTAGATGCCCGAAATCGCTCTGTTAGCAGAGCTCGGTCCGAAAAGTCATTCGTTCATTTTTTGTCTTATTCTTCTCTCCTCTCTTTTTTCTTTATATGTTTAACTTCATATATATACACGAAAAGATGATGAGTTTCTTAATGTTCCTCGAAATGCAGATGAGGTGCAGAGCTGTTTGGCATAGCAGTCGGAAGAAATTCATCATAAGCGCTAGTATCGAGTATCTAGATGCCCGAACTCGGTCTGTTACCAGAGCTGGGTCCAACAAAAACTATTCGTACTCTGCTCGTTTTTAAGACAGGATGATGCCTTTTTTGAGATATCTCGAGCTGCAGATGAGCTACAGGTCTGTTCGGCACAGCAACCGAAAGCAACCCATCATAAGCGCTAATCTGAAGTATCTAGATGCCAGACTTCGGTGTGTTTCCAGAGTTGGAACCAACAAACGATGGGTACTTTAATAATTTTTAGAGATGTCGATGCCTTTCTTGATGTAATTCGAGCTGTTGATGAGAGTAGAGCTGTTTGGCATTCTCTCTCTCCTTGTTCTCTTCTTCCTCCTCTTCATCATTATGATCGTCCCTCTTCTCCCCTCCACCCTTCCCCCTCGTGCTCGTCATCCTCCTCTTCCCCCCTCCTTCTCTTCCGTCTGCTCCTTCTCCTCCTCCTCCTTCTCCTCGTAAGCCTCCTCCATCTCCTTCTCCTCCTCACCCTTTCTTCTCCTCCACGTCCTCCTCCATGAAACCGCACCCTCGCACGCGCGGAATGCGTGATTGCCGCGCCCGCATTCCATGCATGTATATCGAGGAAGCAATACGAGTTCCCCGCGGTATCCTTTCCTTTCCTTTCCGATGCCGTGCTGCGTCCTTTCCTTGTTCCTGCATCCTATTCCGATGCCTATGCCTCAGTGGCTCGGCAGTGTGATGATAAGAGATGCCTTCTCTAGCTACCCTTTGCTCCGTTTGGGAGTCTTAGGGCTTAGCTGTCGCAGCTGTCCGCGCCCTGACTCAAACTCAAAAAAACCAAGATTGACGGTTTTTCCGCCGGCCCCCAGTTGGCCAACAAAAATCTCGACGGAAGTTCTGTCGTTTTTCGACATATTTAAAATCATGTTCTCGAAATTTGAACGGTCGTGAGAGCTCGTCGTCGTCGCTGCGGCCGTCGTCGTCGTCATCGCCGTCGCCGTCGTCGTCGTCGGCGTCGCCGTCGTCGTCGTCGTCGTCGTCGTCGTCGTCGTCGTTGTCGTCGTCGTCGTCGTCGGTCTCCGTGTCGTCGCCGCCGCCGTCGTCGTCGTCGTCGTTGTCGTCGTCGTCGCTGCCGCCGCCGTCGTCGTCGTCGTCGTCGTCGTCGTCGTCGTCGTCGTCGTCGTCGTCGGCGTCGTCGTCGTCGCCGTGGTCGTCGTCGTCGTCGTCGTCGTCGTCGTAGCCGCCTCCATCGTCGTCGTTGTCGCCGTCGTTGTCGTCGTCGTTGTCGTCGTCGTCGTCGCGGCCGTCGTCGTCGTTGTCGTCGTCGTCGTCGTTGTCGTCGTCGTCGTCGTCGTCGTCGTCGTCGTCGTCGTCGTCGTCGTCGTCGTCGTCGTCGTCGTCGTCGCGTCCGCCGCGTTGTCGTCGTCGTCGTCGTCGTCGTCGTCGTCGTCGTCGTCGTCGTCGTCGTCGTCGTCGTCGTCGTCGTCGTCGTCGTCGTCGTCGTCGTCGTCGTCGTCGTCGTCGTCGTCGGCCTCCGTAGCTGGTTCGGCTGGGGGCGGCTCTGCGGCTCCCCGCAGCGCTGCAGCTGCCGCCCAGTGATCCCCGGGTCCTGGCGGCCTCCAGGGTAGCCGCGCACCCCGTCAGCGGAGGCTGCATCCGCTAGGGTTCGCTTCGGTCGTTTCGGTTCTGTCGGTTCGGTCGGTTCGGCGCCGTCGACGACGATGACGACGGCAACGACGACGACGGTGACGACGACGACGACGGCGACGCCGACGGCGGCGCCGGCCGCAGGCGGCTCGGTCGGTTCGGTCGATTTTGTTCGGTTGCGTTCTGTCGGTTCGGTTTGGTCGGTTATTGTGCCGTTGCCGCGTCGCTGCGCCTTTCTGGGCTGCTTTCGGCCTCGCGGTTGCGGTCGGGTTTGGTTTCGCTGTCCGTTGTTTTTTCCAGCTCCGCTGTCGCCGTGCACGAACTTGATGTGGAGGGCGCCACGTGCACGCGTGCACCGATCCTGGCCAGCCCCATTTACCCGAGGCCCCGAAAAATTTGGAGCGGCCGGTTTGGCCGCTTTCAGCGTGCAGGGGCCCTCGCTGGGCGTCGGGCCTAAGGGGCGTTGTGCAAACCCTGAGATCCGACGTTGCGAGAAAATTGCAACATTGTCGACTACGTCACGCCCAGAGCCCTGGCCACCCTCTCGCTGCGTCATTTTTCGAGCTGTATCGATCTGCGAGGGTCCTGGGGCCCGAACATGGGGGAAAACGCACGGCTCGAAGAACTGGGACGCCAGGACCTCAGGGAGGGAAGTTGTCCAGACCTCCTGGGGGCTCAAACATCGAAGCATTTGGGGCGGCTGGATGTCTGGGCCGATCCATGGCCCAGATTGGCCTGGGACCGGTGCGCCCGCCCGCCTGGCACACGGATCCTGGGCCGGCTTGGCCAGTACCAGCGCAGGTGCCCTGAGCTCCGTTGTCGCGAAAGAATGCGACATCGTAAGAAGTCGCGACAGGAGATCCAGACCCTGAGATCCTGGCGTCCCAATTTTTTCGAGCCGGGCGTTTTCGCTAAGCTTCGGGGCCCGGGGCACTCACAGATCGATCCGGCTTGGGGTCGGGGTTTCTGTTTGTAAACTAATGATGATTCATTTTCTCGCTACGTCGGATTTCAGGGGAGCCCGTCCTTCTGCGCTGCTTTTTTTTCGAGCCGGATCCCCTCAGTGAGGGTCCACGGGGCTCGAAGCCGGGCGAACACGGCCGACGGACTTGCCTGGATCTCGGGGTGCGCAGTCGGCGTCCTCCGACGCATGGCCGACCCCGCGCTTCCGGAGCGCCTCGCGGGGCCAGCCGGGCCTGGCGCGGCGCGCGCGGCCTGGGACTCGGCGCTGGCCGAGCTGAGCGGTGGGGGCCCCGACATCGGCAGACGGGAGGCCGCGGGCCGTAGCGCGCCGGCGCAGGGCCGGGCCGCGCTGTACTGCCAGAGTTGCATCCATCGGTGGAGGAAGAGCCGCGTAGTGGTGGTGGTGGTGGTCGTCGTCGCCGTCATCCTCGAAGCGCCGCTCTCGTGCCGCCGCCTCTGCCGTGCGGTGGTGGTGGTCGTCGTCGTGGTCCTCGGAGCCAGCGGGGGGTCCGAGGTGGCCCAGCCTTGGCCAGCGAGCAGGGGGGGGTCGGGGTCTGAGATGCTGGGTTCGAGGTTTTTGTTTGTATATTTTCCTGTCTCCACGGGCCGCCTTCGGCCCAGGGCCGTCAAAAGCGGATCCGGGGTGAACAGTTGCACCAAATGGACCCCGACAGGTGTCCGGCGACCGATTTTGAACGGATTTACCTTCATCTCCCTCTTGACCCAGACATGCTCCTGATTTTTTCAGGACGGCGTCCCCGGAAGTCCCGACCCTTTCCCCGGGACCCGTTTGTCGTCCTGAGTCGTTTTTTGACGGTCCCGCAGCCCCGCGAGGGTCTCCAAAATAGCCAAAAACCTTATGATTTTTTACGACGCCATCATGTCTGGGGGCATCCTCTCGGGGGTCATCCAGCTCAGACCCCCCTGGCCGCCTCCACAAGTGAGCCATCATTTCCGTCCGCCGCGTGGGCGGCGCCCGTCCCTGGGCGGCTGGCGCCTGCGTGCCCTTCCTGGCGTCAGCATCGGGGTGTAAGCGTTCCAGCCGCCCTGGGATGGGCGTCCCGCGAGGCGGGAAGCTCCGTCTTTGAACATCGTTCTTCTCCCGCTGGCTCTGGAGGGAGTCGTGACCCTCTTGGCGATGCTCTGGGGCTGGATGTTGAGGTCGCCCTGGATTACCCTGGGGGCCTGCAGAGGCCAGCCGGGGCTGCCTCTACGGACTGTTTTTGCGGACCCCCGAGCCTGGAGGCCTCCAAGACGGCCCAAGAAGGCTCCAAGAGGCCCTCAAGGAGAGCCCGATGAGACAACGGCCGTTGATTTCCTTCAGGTTTTCGGCGGGGTTCGAGGTTCTCGCATGTTTGGGTTTTTGACCGCTGAAGACTGCCCAAAAGATCCCCAAGAGGGGCCCCAAGTCGGCACAAGAGGACCCCAAGATCGCCCAAGTTCGGCACCCTGTGGGCCGTCGCCCTGGCCCGAGGGCGCATACTTCGGATTTCACAATAAAAGGGGGTGGTCTGATTTGGGAGGGGGTCCGATTCGAGCCGTCTTGGAGGGTTCCAATGCGTCTGGGCAAAAAGATGCCTTTCATGGTTTGTTTTCTGGGGAGGATCTACAATTGAGCGACGCAAAAAATGGGGTCGTTTTCGTCGACATTGGCGCGTAAGCTGCCCGCTGAAGGTCGCGCGTAAGCGCCCCCGTCTCCAATGTAGCGTGCCGCGCTGGCGACCACGCGTAAGCCGCGGTGTAAGGTCGCGGTGCCAACTCGCGTAAGACCCGCTCTCGATCGTCGCTCAGCTGCCTGTCTGGGAGGCCTGTGACCCCTTCCCTTCTACTCATGGGTAGTTCATGGATTGTTCCGAAGGTTTCGAGTCATTTTCTTCAGATTCACTGGGGGGGGGGTCCGCGTGGACGAGCGGCTGCCGATGGCGGGGTCGGGAGCGCCAGGAGGTCCACGGAGCGCCCTGCTCGGTGGCTTTCCAGGTGGCCGGGTGGAGCGACTTTGGCCGGGTAGCACCAGGCGTCCCGGGGGCGCTCCCGATCCTGCTGCTCGTCGGGGGCCCCCGAGCGGCGTGGCGACCACACCGTGCGGTGAGTCAGCGGGGATTCGGGTTCGCCGCACTGAGATTCGGGATCGGGAATTCGGGACTCGGGATTCCGCTCCCACTCCGAGCTGAGAGCGCATGCATTTATCGGAATCTCCCAGCCCTGTTCATAGTTACTTTTGATTCGTCTGGCTGGTGGGCTGATTGTTCACCCATGCCCTGCAACCCCCGCCGAGCAGGTGACAGGCTTGCTCGAGTGGCACTCCGCACCGCGCGATTTTGGGACTCTGGTCGTTCTCCGAGGTCGTCTCGGGCGACAGGGGCCTCCAGGGTCCCACAAATGTGCGGTGACGGACCTCGCGGTCTGGTCGTTGGGGATTCCGAGGTCCCCACGCGGTCCGTCACCACACTGTTTCGGGGCCTCGATAGGAGGCACTGGCGCGAGGGTTTGGCGGCCTTCTGAGAAGGCGGAGGCCTCTCGTGAGTCCTGATGCCCTCCAAGAAGTGTCCTGGGAAGCCCCATGTCCGCTCGGACTGCTGCCCCCCTGGCCCCGCACTTCTCTCTGCGCGCCGCCGAGTATACAGTCGAGTGAAGAGAGTCTTGTGTCCTCTTGCGGGCTGTCTCTAATCAAGCTCGACTGCACACCGATTTTGGACCCAGACTGGGACTGTTGTGGATCTGTGCCGACGTGTAGGGTCGGCGGCCTCCCGACAGCGGGGAGGTGTCAGGGAGCTTTTCGCTGTGGTTGTGGCGCTTCTACGAGGCCTGGCGGCAGCCCACTGGCGCTGGCCCGCAGGCGCCGGCGCTGGCGCCAGCCACTGGGGACGCGCATGCCTCGCAGCCGCCGGGTGTCCCCCGCGCGTCGGTGCTCGAGCGGGAGGAGACCCGCGTGACGCTTGCCGGCGTGTTCCAGGCCCGTCAGGCCGCAGCGGTCTCCATGCAGGGCTTCCGGCGCCGCGACCTGAACCAGACGTACGCGGAGGAGCCAGGGCAAGAGGTGGCCGGGTTGCCCACGTGGTGGTCCGAAGACGGGCGCTACTTCATCTACTACGCCGAGGAGTACGCCCACTGGAAGGTGAACGCGCTGCGGAGCGCGGGCGGAGACGGCCTGGCGGCCGTGCTGCCCGGCGCGCGCCGTGCGGGGTGCGGCTTCGCGCACAGCGGTGCCGTGGGCGGCCACGGAGGCAGCCAGGGCGCCGCCGCGGCCGCCCTCTGCGACCCCGAGGGCTGGTTCGAGCTTGCCGAGGGGGACTGGGAGCCAGCGCAGCCGCGCCTGGAGCGCCTCCCGGCCCTGGCGATGAGCTTCACTTCGGACGCCGTCCAGGCCGAGTCGGTGGTCGCCGCCGGGGAGGACTCCACCAGAGAGCGCCGGGGGGGCGGGAGCGTCGAGTTCCGCGGCATCCCCGGGGGAGGCAAAAGGTTGGGGCAGCCCAGGGGGTGGACACTTCACGCCTTCGCCTCGCCTGGGAGCCTCGCCGAGCACAAGGGCGACTGGAGCCCCTGGATACTCTGGCGACAAAAAACGCCCAGTTGAGCAGGTCTGGTCGGAGCCGAGGGGCTCCAGCTGGTGGTCCTCCCACTGGACTCCGCCTCTTGGCTCTCGGGCGACGCTGAGTGCGGTTGGAACAAGCCCAGCTGGAACCAGAGCGCTCCAGCTGGATTTGGCCTCGCCCGAGATAATTACCTGCAGTGCCCTGACATCCGCGATGTCGGCGAGGTAACAAAAAACGGGGTGAACTGCGCCGACATTGGCGCGTGAGCTGCCCGCGTAAGGTCGCGCCTAAGCGCCCTCGTCTACGTTTTGGCGTGCCGCGCCAGCGGCCCGCGAAGATCATCGCATAAGGACGCTATGCCATTTCGCGTAAGACCCGTTTTTGATCGTCGCTCATGTGTTTCTCTCAGTGCGTGGCCTCAGAAGTTCCGACCACTTCTCGGGGGCGTTAGCTTGTCGCCGTGTGTCCATCTTTGCTTGTCCTAGGTCCCGCAAAGAGGCCCCAGAGGCCGACCTCGAGGAGCACGCCCAGACGGGAAAATACATACCGTCCGAGATGTGCACGCGCGGGCGCAGGCGCGCGTCTGCGCGCGCAGGCGTGCGCACGAGCAGCACGAGCAACACTAGCAGCCAGGAAGCACGTGGGAGACTGTTGACTTCGGGAGCGACGATAGGGCGAATAGCCCAGTGGAGACCAGTACATGTATCCAGTGGCGCCGATGGGCCATGTCTTAGGCGAGGCTCCCGGGCGAATACGTGTAATGCCCGCCCCTGGGCTACTCGCTCGTATCGTCGCCTCCGATGAAATCGAGCTTGAAAGCGTGCCCAGGAAGCTTGCAAGCTTGTGAGGTACGCTGCAGTCCACTCCACGTAAGAGTGACCCTTCGCCGGAGTGACCCCCTGGGGTCCCCCGATCTCCGGACGCGGTGCGGTAGTAGCGTCTTGCGCGCCTGAGTTTGGCCACCCCACGTCCCCGTTAGGTGGCGCACCAAAGTTCACTCCTGTCTGGGGTCGCTCATGCGTGCAGCCGAATGCGGTGCAGTGCCCAACCCTGGGGCTGCATCCGCCCCCTGTTGCCGCCGCCGGCGTCCGGCTGGTGGCGCAGGCGGCGGAGCGGCCGCTGGTGCTCTTCTCGGCGGCCCGCTCTGGGGGAGAAGGGCAGAGGGGGCGGGCCTTCACAGAAGGCTCGGGAGTCGGCGGCGAAATTTGAACCCTGCGCTCGCCGATCAACGACTCAGGCAACTCGAGGGGCGGCGGGGGTGGGGTTCGGAGTTCGTCGAACACGTGGCGAAATCCGACCTCTACCCCCGCCAGCCATCGACTGAGGATCATCGACGGTCAGTGGGGGTAGGGTTCGGATGTCGCGTTCCCTTTTGGGAAAGCTATCTGAGTATTCTCCGCAGGCGCAGAGCTATGTGGAGAGTAGGCCTCGCGAGGCGCGCAATAGTTGTATGACCAAATCTGCACGTCGGCACGTCAGATATGGACGACGTTCGCGTCGCGGCGATGTTCCGACGTAATTCCGACGTAAATCCGAAGCAATCCGACGTGAACCCGATGTAACCCCGGCGTTGATCTGGCGTACTTTGCGTCCCAAGTTGCTGCGCGAGGCCTCCAGGATTTTCCCCATAAGCTCCTGAGAAGCCTCATGAGGCCTGCCCAGACGACCACGACGACGACGACGACAGCGTCTCACACACGCCGAATGGTCGGCGGATTTTTTATGCATGAGCTGTTATCTTCCCCGGCCACTAACGCTATTACTGCTTACTAGTGGTCGCTAACAGGCGCCAATAGGCGCTAGTAGATTCTAACAGGTGTCAGTATGCGCTAATGGGCGCCAATAGGCGCTAGTAGGCGATTGACAGGCACTACAGGGCGCTGATCGGGCGGAGCCTGCCTTCAAATTCACTGTCACACATCATTCACACGCCTGCCCCCTCCGGCTTCCCTCATGGGCGCGCCGCCGATCTTCCTGCCGCCAGACCTCCTCGGCGGCTGCGATGCCGATGGTGTGCCCGCGCCCGGGGTGGTCTTCCAACCGGCAGCGGGCGCGCCAGCGCCGGTCGTGCCGAGGCGCGCGGAGCCGCTCGACGTGCTCGTGCTGCATCAGGCCCCGCTCCTTCTGCTGAGGCTTCGGGCGGCGCACAGAGAGCCCTTCCAGGCAGTCCCAGCTGGCCTCCACAGGCCCCGCGAGTAGTTCCAGCTGGCCTCCACAGGCCCCCCGAGCAGTCTGGGGAGGTCTCGACACCCCGGCGCCGCCTCCGGCGGTGCCCCCGAACGGGACTACTCGGGGGGCCTGTTCAGGCCAGATGGGACCAGCCTTGAGGGGCTGTCTGTGCGCAGCCCGAAACCTTCACTACCAGCTCCTTCTGGATGTTCGTTCTGGGGACCCTCCTGGGGCCCGCCTGACGGATCTGTCAGACTCTGGTTCGTCTCCGGCTCAGGTCCGACTCAGGTTTGATGGCCGTCAGACGCAGCATCGACGCGCGAGTGGAGCGAGTGGCCAGGACGAGGATCCGTTCCAGGGCGCCCCGGGACGCTCCGAGAAGGCCCTGGCGCCCGAGACATTCTCCAGAACCGCCCGATCTCAGAGATTCTCGATCTATCTTCGCCCGATGTCTCGGGTCGGGCGAAAGGGGGGGTTTGGGAAAGGGGGGGTTACGAAATCTGCTGCATGCATATCCCCCCCTTGCGCCCGGCCCGAATGTCATCCTCGTCCCGGCGTCGCCTTTGGCGAGGGGAGCGAGTGGCTCCAGGAAGGCCCCGGGGCCCGCCGGCGGGCTCTGCACGGACGGCGCTCGCGCCGCCGCCGCCGTGCCGCGGGCCTCCTGGCCACCCTGGGGCCCTGGGATGGTGCGCGCGGGCCCTCCCGGGCTCGGGCACGAGGGCGCACCCGGGCCCGTGAGTCTAGGCCTCCTAGATGGGGTCGGAGTAGATGGGGTCGGAGGATCGCGCCGCATCGCCGATGCATCGACGATGCGGATCGATGCGGAGTCCGATTTTCTCCACGCCGACGTCGCCGATGCATTGGCGATGCGGTGCGATCCTCCGACCCCATCTGCTCGGACCCCATCTTGAAGGCCTCTTGAAGGCCTCTGTTGAGGGATGTTCGAGCGTGCTCTCAGCCGTGGCCGCCAGAGATCACGTCGAGCACCGAGGAGGTATACCGAAGCTGGGGGAATGTCAATGACTGCGCGCGCGTCGGGCTCCGGGAGGCGAGGCCCGTGTCGACACCGCGCCGGCGTGTCCGGCATACACTGTTCCGACACGTTTCTGGGTGCCCGACATGAGTTCTGGGAAGTGTCAGGATGGGAAAAAACACACAGACACAATTAATCGTCGATTTCCCAGAAAATATGGGAAAATATGGGAAGTGGGGGGGAAGACAAAAACCCAGAAAATATGGGAAAATATGGGGCATCTTTTTATTTGTGTGTATTTATTTGTGTGTCCCAGGGCCCCTTCAATGAATTCTGGGATGTGGTCCTGAAGCACGACGGGGACAGCACACACCCAGACGTCTTCCGATCGTGATCTTGCCACTGCGCGGCCCGAGAGCCCCCCGGCCCCCCCTCGCCGACGGGCGGAAGGCGGCATGGACCTCCCCTTTCGGAGCTCCGGCGCCAGGGCCGCCTCCCCCTGGCGCGCTCCGCGCGCCGGGTGGGGTGGGGTCCAGCGCAGGTCCAAGAAGTCCGCGCGGATCTCCGAGAAAATATGTCGGTGCAGCTTTTGTGCTTCTACTTCGGGGAAGCGTAAGGGCTCGATCGAGCTCGCGGGAGCTAGGGCTTGCCGACGCCTTCTGACGGGCCCGTCCTGCGTTATGACGGCCCGCTTTTCGTCGGGTGTTTGCAGAAGGGAGCTCGCGTCAAGCTTCAGACTGGGTCGCGGCGTTTTTCCCGAGGACCCCGTCAGGCCAACCCGAGTCCCTTGAACCGGAGTTTTACGTCTCCGTGACCCTTCCCCGGGGGTAGTTCTTCGCCCCAGATCTGTTCTTGCCGGCCGCCCGGGGGCCCGAGAGCGGGCCCCAGGGGCCCGTTTTCGAGGGAAAACGCCCGGGTCGACAGCATCACAGCGTCGGAGATTTGGGACCAAACCAGGACCGGTGTGTGTGTGTGTGTATATATATATATACATATATGTGTAGATATAAAATGTTTGTGTACAGGTCCATAAATATATGTATTCATATATACATGTATACATATACATACACCCTCCCGGCCAGGCCAGACGGGCGTACGCGCTGGTCCTGGGCCCAGGATCGGCGCAGATGCACGCTTCGCGTCTCCTCCCTCGCGCTGTTCTAGGCCTCCCAGATGGGGTCGAAGTGCTGGGTTGACCCAAAAGGGGGTCTAGCGACAAGGGGGTGGTGCAATAGATTTGTGACGTTGCAATACATTTGGGGCGTGCAATACATTGCAATACAATGCAATACAATTCTCCGGCGCAGTACATTTGCAATACAATTGCTCCAAATCTATTGCACCACCCCTTTCAGCTGGACCTCCTTTTGGGTCACCCAAAGAGTAGATGGGGTCGGAGGATCGCGCCGCATCGCCAATGCATCGGCGATGCGGCTCGACGCGGAGCCCGACTTTCTCTGCGCTGGCGTCGCCGATGCACCGCCGCCGAGGTATCGCGGAGGCATCGCCGACCCACGGCCGATGCATCGGCCATGCGGCGCGATCCTCCAATCCCATCCACTCGGACCCCATCTGGGAGGCCTCTACAGACGGCCCGGATTAGTAGGTCGACCCTGCCAGTTCAAGGGTACCCTTGTGTCCTGTGCCTCGCGACACGTGCCTTCTTACACTCCCATGGCGATGTGGCCCTCGGAGGGGTCTTGTGTCCTCTCGCGTGTCCTGTCCAATCAAGGCCGACTGTAGTCCAGGCCCGGGGGCGCCTTCCAGGGAGGAGCCCAGGACTCGGGCGCAGCATGCCGGGGCCCAGAGCGGGGGCCCCTGGCCGGGCCCGGCGGTGGCCGCGCGGGCGCCGCCCGTGCGGCGCAGGACGGCTCCTGGGCGCGGGACGAGCAGCAGCAGCGGCAGTCCAGGCTGTGAGCCGCCGTGGCGGAGCCTGTGCCCGTGGCAGCGGTCCACCTCTCCCCCCTGCTCCCGCGCCTCCTCCCCCCTCGCTCCCTCCTCGGTGTCCTCCTTCTTCGCTCGCCTCGCTCCATCCCTCCCTCCTCCTCCTCCTCCTCCTCCTCCTCCTCCTCCTCCTGCCTCTCCGTCCGTCTTTCTCTGCACTTCCCCGTCCCCTCCTCCCTCCTCCTCTTCCGCCTTCTCCTCCTTCTCCTCCTCGTTTTTCTTCTCCCTCCTCCCTCGTCCTCCTTTTCTACCTCCTCGTCTATCTATGTCCTCCTCCTCTTCCTCCTCTTCCTCCTTCTTCGCGCAATGCGCAAATGTACGAAGCAAAAGCCTGCTGTGTCTGGCCGTCTCCTCGTCCTGCTCTTCCTCTTCACCTCCCCCTCGTCCTCGTCTTCTTCCTCCCCGTCCTCCTCCTTCTCCTCCTCCTCCTCCTTTTGAAGTTTTTTGTTTCTGCCCTGTGCACTTCCGGTGTGGAAGCCCTCTGTGTCTGGCCTCCTCCCTCTCCTCCTCCCATCCCCTCCACTTCTTCTCATCCTCTTTCGCCTCGGGCCTCCCTCCACCCTCCTCTCCTCCACTGTCGCGTGGCTTTCGCCCGTCGCGCCACCGTACCTGGTTCGTGGGCCAGAGGCCTCTCTGAGGCCTCGGGGGGTCTCTGGGGAGGCCTCTTGGGAGGCCTCCTCGGGGCGTCCTCGAAGCCTCTCCGGGGCCCCTCGGGCCTCCTGGATGCCTCCCGGGGGGCCTCTCGGAGGCCGTGTGTGGGCAGGGGCCTCTTGGAGGCAGGGAGGCCCCCACCCACGCCACACACGCCACACACAGCATCACACAGCACACACTAAGTATTGGCGTGGGATGCCAAGGCAACGATGGACGGACTGAGTGATTCCAGGATTGCTATCCTGCGTTCCGTAATTTTGCTTTGCGGCGATGTTCCGGGGGAATCGCCGCCGTGCCTCTTCATTCCCGTGTTCTGCTTCAGGACTGGCCCTGGGCCGATCGGGGGTTGTTTTGCGTGTGTTCTTTGGCTTTCCGATGGTGCCCCGACTGCTTTTGAATGAGTTCCGATCCTGCCCAGAAGAATTGTGGACACACAGGTCGCTTGGATCTATCTCGATGGTGCTCCGATTGTTCTTTAATGAGTCCCAGTCCCGCCTAACATTGCTCTGTACACACGAGTTGAACAGGCCTGTCCCAATGGTGTCCCGATTCGCTGTCAATGAGTTCCAACCCCGCTAAAAACAATTTTCCTGGCGAAGGACCCAACCATTTGCAGTTGTGGGTACCGCAATTGTGAATATCTTCTTCGGTGAAGCTCCCTATTGGGCCACGAAGCGCTGCACTGGGTGGGGGGGAACGCATGCGACGGGAGCACTGGGGCCTTACGTGGAGCTCCCTATGGGGCTACGAAGCGCTGTGCTGGGTGGGTGAAGATGCCACATTGGGTGTGTGGGGGACGCATGCGGACGGTCCCACTGGGGGCTTCGGTGGAGCTAACCATGGGGCCACGAAGCGCTGTACTGGGTGCGGCAGACGCCTGTGGTACCCCCCCCCCTGGTGCCTTACGTGGAGCTCCTTATGGGCCCACGAAACGCAGTATTGGGTCTGTCAAAATACCAAGTTTGGCTTCCGGGACGCATGCGGACGGTCCCAATGGGGGCTTCGGTGGAGCTCCCTATGGGGCCACGAAGCGCTATACTGTGTGGGTGAAAATGCCAAATTGGGCTTTCGGGACGCATGCGGACGGTCCCAGTGGAGGCTGCGGTGGAGCTTCCTATGGTGCCACGAAGCGTTGTACTGGGTGGGTGAAACTGCCAAATTGGGTGTGTGTCGGCGGTCCCACTGGGGGCTTCGGTGGAGCTCCCTATCGGGGCCTTGAAATGTTGTACTGGGTGGGTGAACATGTCAAATTGCGTGTGCGGGACGCATGTGGGCGGTCCCTCTGGGGGCTTCGGTGGAGCTCCCTATGGGGCCACGAAGCGCTGTACTGGGTGGGTGAAAATGCCACATAGGGTGTGCGGGACGCATGCGGACGGTCCTACTGCCCCGCTGTACTGGATGTGGCGGACGCATGTCTCCACCCCTACTGGGGCCTTCGGTGGAGCTCCCTATGGGGCCACGGAGCGCTGTACTGGTGTGGCAGACGCATGTGGTACCCCCCCCTCGGGGGCCTTCGGTGGAGCTCCCTATGGGGCCACGAGGCGCTGTACTGGGTGTGGCAGACGCATGTGGACCCCCCCCTTGGGGCCTTACGTGGAGCTCCCTATGGGGCCACGAAGCGCTGTACAGGGGCTGGCAGGCGCATGTGGTACCCCCCCAGGGGTCTTACGTGGAGCTCCCCATTGGGCCACGAAGCGCTGTACTGGATGTGGCAAACGCATGTGGTCCCCTCCCCTGGGGCCTTACGTGGAGCTCCCTATGGGGCCACGAAGCGCTGTATAAGGTGTGGCAGACACATCTGGTACCACCCCCCGGGGCCTTCGGTGGAGCTTCCCATGGGGTCACGAAACGCTGTGCTGAGTGTGGCAGACGCATGTGTACCCTTTCCCTGGGGCCTTACGTGGAGCTCCCTAGGGGCCACGAAACGCTGTACTGGGTGTAGCAGCATGTGGTACCCCCCCATCTGGGGTCTTCGTTGGAGCTCCCTATCGGGCAACGAAGCGCTGTATTGGGTGTGGCAGACGCATGTGGTACCCTCCCCTGGGGCCTTCGGTGGAGCTCCCTATGGGGCCACGAAGCGCTGTACTGGGTGCGGCAGACGCCTGTGGTACCCTTCCCCCCTTGGGGCCTTTCGTGGAGCTCCTTATGGGGCCACGAAGCGCTGTACTGGGTGTGGCAGACGCATGCGGTACCCCCCCCTGGGGTCTTACGTTGAGCTCCCTATGGGGCCACGAATCGCTGTACTGGGTGTGGCAAACGCATGTGGTATCCCCCCCCTGGGGCCTTCGGTGGTGCTCCCTATGGGGCCACGAAGCGCTGTACTGGGTGGGTGAAACGCATGGAGGAGGGAGGAGGGGGAGTAGGGAGAAGGGGCAGGAGAAGGAGGAGGAGGCGGAGGAGGAGTGAGTGGGTGAGTGGGACGCGGGGCGCTGTCTCTTCAAAACGAGGACCTACCACCACAGGATGGTTGGGAACTATGGGCATACGGGCCTGTCCCGATGGCGTCCGAATTCGTTTTCAATGGGCTTCGGGCCCGCCCAACTTTACATGATTTTGATAATGTTGCGCGTTCCTTCGCAGCTTTGCGTTTTTACGCGCGTTCCGTTGATTTCAAGTGAGGTCCAGCAGCTGCCATTTTGTATTCGACCTAGTCCAACAACCATGCCTGTTGACGTCACATTGCCTCGTTTGTCTGCCTCTCCTTAGCACGTGTCCACATCCATTCAGGCTGAAGCCGCGATGGCTCATTGTGACGGCTTTATACTACTGTGACGATTTTCATAAGAACCGTATTCATATGTCTTTCGTGCTGTTTCTCCTTGTCAGTGTGCAGAGCCTCTCTCAGAGCGGCGCATTGATATCGAATGTCAAGTTTGAAGACTTTGCTGGAAACCGGTCGATGCGCCTCCTAGGGAAAACTGACAATGCTGCAGGTTGTTTTGCAGATGGTGTGGGCAGCTTTGCGAAAAATGGCGTGTCGCCTGTTGAGGACCTCAAGCGCATATTGGAAGAAGGAGTGAAGCTCATAAGTGGTAACAGTGGTGCCGCCTGCAAGGATAATCCGTAAGGGCTTCGCCCCCTGCCGCCGGCCCCCTGTCTCGGATAATGGGAGATGCAGCTAAATGATGAGGTCTGGGCGCCCGTGAAGCAGTGTCGGGACCTGTTTGTTTTTCGACCCTGAGGCTACGGATCTGCGTCACGGGTGCCACCGAATTTCAGACATGTGGCAAATCCCATGTGTTTTTGGACCCTGACACTACGGATCTGCGTGAGGGTTGCCGCCGGATTTGAGAAATGTCGCAAATCCTCTGTGTTTTTGGACCCCGACCCTTCCGATGTGCGTGAGCGGTGCCGCCGAATTTGAGAAGTGTCGCAAATCCTCTGTGTTTTTGGACCCTGACACTGCCGATCTGCGTGAGGGGTGCCAGCGAAGTTCAGAAATAGGGCAAATCCTTTGTGTTTTTGGACCCTGACCCCGCCGATCTGTGTGAGGGGTGCCAGCGAATTTGAGAAATGCGGCAAATCCCATGTGTTTTTGCACCCTGACCCTGCCGATCTGCGTTGGGGGTGTCACCGAATTTCAGAAATGTAGCACATCCCGTGTGTTTTTGTACCCTGACCGCGCCGATCTGCGTGAGGGGTGCCAGCGAATTTCAGAAATGTGGCAAATCCCATGTGTTTTTGCAGCCTGACCGCGCCGATCTGTGTGAGGGGTGCCACCGAATTTGTGAAAAATGTGGCAAGTCCCCGCCGATCTGCGTGAGGGGTGCCACCGAATTTGAGAAATGTCGCAAATCCTCTGTGTTTTTGGACCCTGACCCCGCCGATCTGCGTGAGGGGTGCCACCGATTTTCAGAAATAGGGCAAATCCTCGGTGTCTTTGGACCCTGACCCCGCCGATCTGCGTGAGGGGTGCCACCGAATTTCAGGCATGTGGCAACTCCTCGGTGTTTTCGACCGTGACCCCGCCGATCTGCGTGAGGGGTGCCACCGAATTTCAGGCATGTGGCAAATCCTCGGTGTTTTTGGACCGTGACCCCGCCGATCTGCGTGAGGGGTGTAAATTTCAACCCCTCCCAGCGATGCAGACAACACGTTTGGCCGTGGTAAAAAGGATCGTCTTGGGCCTCCCGGTCTCGCGCGGTCCATCCACAAGGAACAGTAGGCAGCAAGAAGCAGAGTTGTAACAAGGAGCAGTAAGCAGCAAGAAGCAGAACTGTACACCTTAGGCGATGCTTAAGAAAACCTAAATTTTCGGCCAGAGTCTCGATTATTCTTAACGTTTCAATGTAAACCCTAAGATTTTAATAGAAAGGTTGGGTTTTTTTATGCAAGTTCTGAGACTGTGAATTTCTTAACCCATGATTTCTTAAGCGTTTCGCAGGGTGTAAGCAGCAAGAAGCAGAGTTGTAACGAGGAGCAGTAAGCAGCAAGAAGCAGAACTGCAGCAGTGGAAGCTGGAAGCTGCAACTGGTACAGGAAGCTGCGAACCTTCGTCCTGCAGCCTGGTGGCCCCACAGGGGGGCCAGAGGACAACAAGAACATCACGTGGTGCAAAGAGCCTCGCACGGACCCGCTGCTCGGAGACCAGGATCAGGAGTGGTACGCCGAGCTTCAAGACTACTTGAAGAATGAGCTCGCTCAGACAGACAAGTCGTTGCCCATTGTTGCCGCCGTGTGGGACCAACCCATCAAGGCCGATGCGAAGAGCGCTCAGATCATGAACTTCATCTGCAGCTTCGAGCGGCTTGGTATGTCGAAGCGATTTGTTTTGTTTGCTGCCGATAAAAATGCCTACGACGGTCTTGTTCGCAACTTCCCAGACGCAACCGTCATTTTTCACCCTCACGTGAGGAAATTTGCTCAGGCCATGGCAGACAGGACAAATGTGATGTTTTTCAGTCGAGTGTTGAAATTGGCTGTTGCACAGATCTTGCTTGATACAGGGCGTGATGTGCTTATCACGGATACCGATATCGCCTGGATTCGGGACTCGTCGGAGGTCCTTCACGAGTCCGGCTTGGATTTCGCTGCGATGCCAGACTCTTGCGCACACGACATTAATTCAGGTTTCGTTTATTACCGCAATGTTCCGCAAACAAGGGACTTGCTTCACATGTCTCTGAGCACATGGAGGGAGAGTTGGTTTTGTGGTGATAACGACCAGTACGTGCTCAACTGCGGCTGGAAACGGGCCGCAATCAAGGGCCTCAACTACAGAGTGCTGCCCGCAAACTCGTGGTCAACCAGATGCACAGGCAGCATACGTTGCACATGTACATCGTCATTCAAATCCGTTGATGACACGTACGGGCGAAAAATGTTTGGAGTGGGAGATGGTTACCCGTATGCTTATCACACATATGGCATGACAGCCAATTACAAAAACGAGCTTGATATGCTCACTGCGCTTGATATGGTCGATGTGGATTTTCAGACTGGCCAGTGCAAAAAAGGCCCCAAGTCGATCTCATTAGACACACTAGTAAAACAATGCTCCACTCAAGAAGGCGGCATTGTCCACGCCATGTGCAGTGACTCGTGCAAGACAGAGCCAGTCCGTGCAGAAGCCATTGTTGCTAGCCTCGAATCTCGCTTGGCCTGATAGTGAAAAGTGTCAGGCAGTTTCGCCAGAAGTGTGTGTGTGTGTGTGTCTGTGTGTGTGTGTGTGTGTGCATATTTGTGGATGGCCATGTGCTGCCCTCCGCTCGGCCGGTCCGCGCGCGCCCCAGCCTTCTGTCTCGGCCGCCGTACTCGACTCTCTCCGCCTCGTTCGCTGCGCGCGAGGCTGCGATCGCCCCAGTGTGTGTGTGTGTGCGCGCGCGCGCGCGCGCGCGCGCGTGTGTGTGTGTGTGTGTGTGTGTGTGTGTGTGTGTGTGTGTGTGTGTGTGTGTCTGCGTGTTTGACTTGAGATTCCGACGCACCCATCGACTGCACGTTGCCGTGTGCGCCGTTTGTACGCTGCGCCATCGACCATGTTCGGTCGCAGTACACCTCCGCGTGCTGCCTGCGCTTGGGGGCCCTCTGCGCCGCGGAGTTAATACAAATGCGTCTGTGTGTGTGTGTGTGTGTGTGTGTGTGTGTGTGCGTGCGTGCGTGCGTGCGTGCGTGCGTGCGTGCGTGCGTGCGTGCGTGTGTGTGCATATGTTTGCGTGTGCGTGTGTGTATGTGTGTTTGTGTGTGTGTGTGTGTGTGTGTGTGTGTGTGTGTGTGTGTCCGTGGCCATTGGCTCAAGTCGCTCTGGCTCGAAGAGAGCCGCAGCGGCTCGCGCCGCCGGCTTGGCGGTCGCCTGACCGCCGGCTTGTCTGGTGTGTGGTTGTGAAGGACTTTTTTCCCGTCCCGCCCCCCCCCCCCGCGCCTCCGCGCCCATGGACTCCCGCCCCGCCCTGCGCCGCCGCCAACGGCGCGCGGCCGCCAGCTGGGCCGCGGTCGCGGCTGCTGGCGCCGCGCCGCCTGGCCTCGTGGCCTGCCGCCCTGCCGCCTGCCATCGCGCCTGCCGCTGGCTCTGCTGGCGGGCGGGCCGCCGGCTGCCCGGCCGCGGCCGCTGCTGCGTGCGGCGTGGTCGTCGACTTTGCGGAGGCCGCGGCGGCCGCCGGCGTTTGGCTGGCCTTCGCTGCCGGGGCCCCTGCCGCTGCGCTGGCGGCTCGCGCGGCTGCGCGCCCCAGGCCGCTGCCGCTGAACGGGAAGGATTTGGTGAACCCCTGGAGGCGGGGGCGTCTTTGCCCAGGCTCGCTGCTCAGGCGGCCTCTGCCGCCGCCATTCCGTCCCAGCAGCCGCGGACTTCGGCAGCTGTGTGTGAACTCCGCTCATAACACCTTTCTATCCATGTATCCTGCTACCGTCTCGGCTCATGTATTGGACGTCCTATATGACAGGATTAGCGCCGCTCGCCCGCGGCGCATGGGAAAAGGGATCGCTACCCTCCCCCTCCCCTTCTACCTACGGACATACCAGTAGGTTCGACTCTTCGGTCGTAAACCTACATGCGCAGGTTATCCGCCGATTATATTTCGTTCTCCGTTGTGACACCCAGCGCCGTCTTTGATTCACCCGCATGGCGCTGGACCCCACGGGGACCAGTGTTTCCACGCGCGCTGGATCTTGGACGACGTGGGTATCACGACACCACGGAGAGGGCAATGGGACAGAGCATGATTCCGCAATCCCCCCTCCCAGGAGAAAGCAGCGTCGATGCTCGACTTGAGGCGGAAGTCGAAGCTGTCGTGGACTCATTCCCGCTTCCCGCGCCAGCGCCATCTAACGCGTCAGGGTGTGGACACAGCGCGCAGTCGACCATGTCGTCTCCTGGCGCCGCCTTTAGTTCAGAACCCTCGCTGGTGGAAACGCCCGCGGTAGCACCCGAAACCACCGTTGGATTCGCCTCGCCTCCTCCGCCAACCTGCGCAGGTGGACGCGCCCGCGGTGGTGGCGCCAGTGAGGCGTCTCCTCAGAGCGCTTCCGCGCGACGCTGCCGCTGGGACGCACGACGTCTCATGAGCGCCACTGCGGTCACTGTGTCAGAACATGTGCGAGCCATTGAAGATCTCATTGGGCGGACCTCGCAGCGAAGAGCCCTCGAGCGGTATCGTCTGCAGTTTCACAAGTAGGGACCGTAGCTGCAGCCCCTCCCGGAGGCGCTCTCGGCAGAGCTCCCTGCGGCGCGGCATCGCGCCGCAAGAGTCGCCCTCCGCCAGTGATTTGGCAGAGCTTAGAGTCCAGGTAGGAACTTGCGCGACCCGGCAGTTTGCGGGTCTTGCCGCGCAGACAGCAACGCGGAGGAAAGAGCCGCGCGACGCCCTTGCCTTTGTCATCGCTCGGATCGCCGAGGATCGGTCGATCCTCGCCCATGTCCAGTATCTGGGCGGCCGTGTGGAGTCACCCCGACGCGCCCCATTTCAATTCAGACGCTCCACGACTACCTCCCCGCAGTGGAGACCCAGCTCGCGAGCGTCACGGGCGCGGGCGCTGCTGCTGTCAGGGTGCTACGCGACGAGCTCTTGACAGGGCGGCAGGTTTCAGCTGCAGAGGTGCACGGGCTTGCGGATCAACGGCTTCGCGACGACCTCGCTGCGCTTCGTGCTTTTGTTGAAGTGACCGCTCCCAACCTGCAGTCGCAACATATTGCAGCCGCGCCCGAGTTGCACCGCGAGCTTCGTAGTGGCGAGATGACTATCGCTCAGCGTCTGGATGCTTCGGGGGGGCGCGTGCCAACGCTTGAGAAGCAGCAGTTGCCTGATATACAGGCTGCGCTGGCTGAGTTGCGTGTTGCGCGGACCTACTCTGATCAGCTGGGCGCCCCGACTTCGGCTTGAGATTTCGCCGCCCTCGCTGCCCAGATGGCCGCGGCGCGGGGGGCGGCGGGCCGCGCGCAGTTGCGACTCGCCCAGATCTCCCGCGAAGGAGACGCTGCAGACGCACGGGGTGAGGGCGCGCTCGCCCGCTTGGAACACGAGCGCCAAGCGCGCAGTAGACGAATCCGGGGCTGGCGGCGTCGGCTGGGCGGGCGCCCCCAACGAGCGAATGCTTGGTCAGCGGCAAAGTGTTGGGAAGGTGCAGACCGACATCGCAGCGACCGAAGCCGCCGTGAAGGTCGACGCGAGCGACGCTCAGATCCACATCCCAAATCCCGCCTCCCTAACCTACCACCGACTGGGCCCCGGCCCTCGCCGACTGAAACGTCTGGGCGGGGCAGCGGCGACGCGCGTCGCCAGGCGCTGCCTCTGCAGCGGCCTCAGTTCAGACGCGTCGCGTCTCTCCTGCGCGTGCGCCATCGCCGACTCCATCGATTCCATCGTGGAACCTCTCGCAGTGCCGTCTCGGTGGTGCCGCCCTAATCGAGGAGTCAGATACCGTGCGTTTTCCTCGACTGCCGCGCACCACTCAGTAAAAGGAGTGGCAACATATGGCCAGGGGCAATTTCGGCAGCGCCTCTGGGCGCCCTGCCAAGGCGTGCACACTCCTCTGTGTCGCCGCACAAACTGGCGCTACACTCGAGGACCTACGAGACAGTGGCGATTTCGAGAGCATCGATTGTAAGCTTGCCGCGGGACTTTCGGCTGTTCTCAATGCTGAGCTTCCCCGCGAGCACAGTGCCAGCCGCGTGTTGAGAGGTGGCCAGATCTGTTGAATTAGTCTGCGTCATCTTTGAAGGTCACCGACGTCGACGACGCGATGCGCGACTTTGAACGTTTACGCTGTATTCGCGTGCGGGGCGGGGATCTTCACTGGTTCATTTTGGACTGGGACAATTTATTCTTGGAATGCGGTGAACCGCCAGGCACGGAAATCTTCGAGTCATTGTTCCGGGCTCGTGTTCGCGGACGTCCATGGATGATGCAGGACGCGCGCGACTGCAACAAGCTGAAGGTGAATGACCCTAATCGCACTTGCGATTGGGTGCGAAGACGTGCCATGGCCAACGTCGAGTTGCGCCGACTCGCGCGCGACCAGCTCAACCGTAAGAACGAAACGACTTGTCATGCACCAGCCGTCTGCGCTGCGTGCAAGTCAGGCCGTTGTAAAAACGGGGAACGGTGCAAGCTATCGCAAGCAGGATCTGGTAACCGTTCCGCGCCGCGACTCCCGCGGCGCGCATCGGCGGCGGGCAGGGGTGTCCGCGGAGGGCGACCCTCAACGGGGCGAGGCTCCGAGCCGCCGCCCAAAGACGGAGGTGGACTGAACTCTTGTTTCGATTTTGCGCGGCGCGGCACCTGCCCGCGACGAGATTGGCGCGAATGCCTGCGCCTTGCCGCGTGCAGTTTCCATGTCGACCCAAACTTCCTCTGCGAGCGCGGCGGCAGCAGCCGATTCGCCCGCGTCGCGCCCTGCGCTGGGGCCCCCGAGAGGGGCCCCAGTCGGACATGCAGCCGAGATAGCCGCAACAAGACACCCTCCCCAGGACGCGCGGGATTCTGTCCAAACAGGGGGCGGCAGGGTTCGCGAAGTCCGAGGGGCGCGCGCTGGTCGCGTCGGGGAACGCCGTCCCCGGGGCGCGCGGGGCGGCGGGGCTCTCGCAGTCCGGGGGGCCGGAGATGGCCGCCGCGGCCCCCGCAGCGCTCTCGATCACCTCCGCGGGGCCGCAGCCGCGACCGCCATCGAGGACGTTGCCCCGCCGGGGGCGACTGGGGCGCATGCCGATCCGCATCCCGCGGCTGCAGTCGATCACCTTCGACGCGCCGCAGGAACCGCTCTCCCGCAGCGTCGCGATGCAATCGGCGACGGGATCGAACGTGCGAGATCCGTGAAAATATCGAGGTAACCACAGACCAACATACGCGGCGCCTACGAATCGACCTTGACAGCATTGACGTCGTCACCTACGCTGTCCACCAACGGCGCCACTACATGTCGAAAGGACCACGTGTCTACCAAGGTGGCCCCGTTGATGTGCCCGACCCGTTGCCTGAATGGTGGTTGGATGACAGCGCCCAGGCGCTCCGTGACTGCTGGGCCGGGGCTCCACGATGGTGCGGTGACTTCGCGATGCCTACTGCATTTACTACGGTGCCCGTCATGCCATCACACATCGACACAGCGTCGGTGGCAAGACCCGCAATCGAGTCTACCTTTGCGACGCGGTCCACTGCAGCGTTGTTACGGACGTGG